TTGATATCACCTCTCATTTACCTTCTCTTCATCCCTCTTTGTGGCCACATCACTGCCCCTCATAGTCCCTCTCGCTGTCTCCACTGGTTTTCTTTCTCTATTTCTCTTCCTGTCCTTTTTTGTTTCATTCACTAATCTCTCCCTTTCCTTTCTTTCTCTCTGACAAACTCCGTCCTTTTTCTGTTCCTCACTCCTGCTGTCCTTCTCTGCTTTCCTTGTCCCTCTACCCTGCTGCCAATCTCCACTCTATCTCCCCAGGGCTCAATCGCACACAGTTTCCTGGAAACCAGGATTCTGAATCTCTATAGTGATATAAAACATTTCACTATCATTAATTTCCTATCCCTTCAGGCAAGTGCGGAGGAAATACATTATTACAGTAGAGTGTGCATTTTATAAAATAAATGTTAAAGTAGCCTTTCAACATCTTGGGTACTAATTATAATGAATTATTTATTTTATTAATTATATTTAAAAAAAACTATAAAAAATGTAACAATTATAGAATTCTCTGATTAAGATTTTGTTTCTGTTTAACTCTTTCTCTGCAGTTATAGCTTCACACTGTAGAGATACCTGCGTAGAATGAAGATTTTATTATGGCAAAATAAGGCCATTGAGAGATTTTGGAGACATTTTAATAATCCACAAGACCAAACAGGATTATAAATGTATTCTACTTGCCCCACTGTGTAAAGGTTAGGGTTAGACTCTGACACAGCAACTCTGAAAATTTGTGTTTTCACAATTCTCCCTGAATGTTGTTCAGAACATGCCAAAAAGGCAGGGATCCTTTTTATTAGATTCTATCTCACATAGCAATGACATGCTGTTTTAAAACATAGCTTCAAATGCCAAAGCATTGCTTATAGTAATAGACCAAGGGCCAGTCATGCCCTCTGCATGTCATGTGGGTGCTCATCGGAAGTTGAAAGTGTGGTTGTGTTTGTGTATATAAATATATACTGTAACTAAACCCCCATTATTTTTTGCCTAGATTAGGTATTTCAAAAAATAAATAAATAACTGAGTGTGCTGGATCTTGTGTAATAGATAGAGATAAACAGATAGATAGATAGATAGATAGTGTGTAGATACAGTTTGGAAACTCCAGGAAAAAAAAATCTGTTTTCAGATTTATCAGTTTTATTTCTTTTACATTTTTTATCTAGGACTCATTTCACTTTACAATTTAAATAAATTATTATTATGTTATTATTTATATAGCGCCAACAAATTCCGCAGCGCTTTACAATGGGTGGACGAACAGACATGTAGTTGTAACCAGACAAGTTAGACACACAGGAACAGAGGGGTGGAGGGCCCTGCTCAATGAGCATACATGCTAGAAGGAGTGGGGTAAAATGACATGAACGGTAAGGATAGTATTAGACTAATGACAGTTGCAAGAGAGGAATCAGTCGGGAGCAATTAACAGTTTAATTGATACGTTTTTATGAAGAAGTGGGTTTTTAATGATTTTTTTAAGGAGTGGAGAACATAGAACAGGTGGGTTTACAGACAGCAGGACATATAATTAGGTACAACGATACAAAAATTAATAGGGATAGCTGCCCTTAGGTTCAATCTAATACCTGTAGCACCTCCTACAATTTACAAGAAATACAGCCCATGAGCTTACACTCTAGAGTGATATTTAATATGTATAGAGAAATACGGTGTATAGATAAAATACAGTTGTTCAGATAATATGAACAGATCTATAATTGTGCCATGAGGAGTAGTAAGTTTATAGTAAATCATGTAGAAAAAAGAATACACAAGTATGTAGAAAACAAAGTAGAACTCCGAAAATAAGAAAGTTTGATATGGTACAAGAAGTACTTCTGAGAGAAGAGACCTTTGCTCAAGCAAGCCTTCCATGAAGACAAGGTAGAGTTGAAGAGAAGTAGAGATGAGATGTTACCAGTGTGTAGTCGACATACTTACCTGGATGGTGTGCCCAGAGTTAGTTCAAATCTCAGTTGAAAGAGGATAGGTAGGGCTGGTTGTTCACACTGAAGGGAACATGGGGATGAAACGTAGGGGATTTTTGTCAGATCTGTAGGACAGCGACCCATAATGGTGAGGTTATGAAGCATAGGGAGCAGAGAGGACAATTAGAGGTATAATTGGAGATAAATTAAGAGAGGTAGGTAATGGAGGGATTTGTACCCAAGAGTTTGGCAATGAAGATAGATGGAGTATTAGAAGCAAATGGAGCTTTTGCAGTAGGGTTTTTTTTTGGCATGAGTAGAACGGAGCATGTTGAAGAGTATATGGGCAGCAGCATTTTTGATTAAAATGTTTTAACATTTTTTGAAAATTCAAAAGCTAACGTAAATGAGAAACAATTTGCTTTGATTTTAAAACAGGTTAATCAGGTGACAAGACAAGTCAGGACTAAACTGAGGTTATTGACGTCAGTGATAAATGAGAACTTCTCTGGAAATATTTTGTTTGTCACTTTCCACAGAAAAAAAGAAACGAGTTTGGGTTATGAAACTGTAAATGCTTGTAATAGAGGGGGGAGCAGCACTATAATAATACATTCTTTCTTTGGAAAACGAAAAGTGAAAAAAACATAAAACGAGCAGATTGCTCAAGCACACACAAATACTATTGTAGTGTATATATATCATACAAAAAGCTCAGCAAGTTCATTCCTCTTAAAAGCTTTTCATTTCTGTGAAAAACACAACGCTGAATAATTAGTTGAAAATTACCTATAACTTGTGTAGCTCTTTTTATTTTTCATTTTCTTTGGCATGGCTTCAAGGCTAAGCAATTGATATCATGATGCAGTTCAGTCCTAGCACAGGTACGGCACGCATTGTCCAGGAGGAGGATAAATGGAAACATTGTTTCTGTTCTCACTCTTCCACTTAAAGACTTCTCTTGAGACTTGGCTGTCAGAGCGTTCTGATTGGCTGGCTTACTAGACAACCAATCAGAGCGCTCTTGGTCATGTTGCAAAGCCTGGGAAATTTTCCCAGGCCTTAATATAACTGACATAGTGTGGGGAAGCATATGTAAAGGCTTTCCCCACTAGGAGTGCTCATTCTGGGGTGAGCCCTCCATCTGTGAAGATGGATTGTTTTTTATTGTGCTGCGGTTCTGAGTTTTTTTTATGTGTTTTTGTTTTTTTGATCGCCCTTTTGTTTTATTTTAATGAGTGGAATAGGTTAGCATGTATTTTAATTTGGCCTTTTTGGGGCTGAATAACAGAAGAATTAGATGGCACAATACATCTGATGGTAAGATTTGATGGTTAGATGGGCCCCCTCACTATTATGAGATGGGGGACAGCTAAGGAGCCTCTAAGTGGATGGGCCTACCCAATATGGAAGTTGCTGTTGAAACAGGTTGCATCACTAGGGATGCCCCCTCAGGAGGATAAAACAACCCAGTATATGGTGTGTGTTAAAGGATTACTATGTGCCCTCAGGGACCCCCTCCCATGGAACTGTAGGGGTTAAAACCTTATTCTAGCACCGGGCTACCTCGGCGCTGGTGACCTCTCCTCCCCCGCTGACGTCAGCTCCCTCTGCCGACGTCAGCGGAGCCGAATGCGCATGCGCGGCAAGTGCATTCAAAGTGTCCATAGGAAAGCATTTCTCAATGCTTTCTTATGGACGTTCTGCGCGATGGAGGCATAATATGCCTCCAGCGTCGCAGATGCGCCTCTAGCGACTGTCCGGAAGAAACTGCTATGTTTGCATCTGAAGGATTAAAACCTGAGGGACCTGGCACCCAGACCACTTTATTGAGCTGAAGTGGTCTGGGTGACTATAGTGTCCCTTTAACAATGTCGTTCACTAAATTGAGAATTGCCTGTAATTCAAAGCGAATTTAATCACTTTCTAAACACTCTTCCAAACATCTCAATGAGAATTAGCAGAAGAAAACCGCGAGACGTGATTTTTGATATGTATTACAATACATCCGTAGCACCACGAACTCCAGGTTAAAAGAGGTTCTGGATTTTTTCTGATGTCATCATTGTTTTTCTGAAATTCCTTTGCTTCATCTTCCTCCTGTCACCTAATGATCTCCGCAGATTTTAAAACAACAGCTGTCAAATGACAATTGCTGGTCGCCATTTGTCAGTTGAAATAATACAGTTGCACATGGACAGCTGTACCTGACATACTCAGTCTGACATTGCAATTTGCTGACGTAAAACACAGTTTTACTGGGATTACATGATTTTAAGAGCAATCCAACAGTACAATCTCTGTTTGTATTATTTCAATACCAAATTTGAGTTTAAAGAAACAATGTTTTTTTAAAAATCATACAGATTGGTTTCAATTTACATTTGTTATTTCATGGATATAAAATAGATGACATAAGATTTAAAGAGGAAATCAAATTAATGAAATAAACACGGTTAATGTACATTGCTGTGTTAAGTTTATAGAATGAGAGCTATGAGACAAATAGACAACCAGATACAAAAGACAGATAAACAACTACACAGACAAACAACTAGACAGAATTACAGACAAACACTAGTAGAAACAGACTGAGATAGACAACTAGATAGGCAGAAATACAAACAACCGGAAGGAGAGACAGACAGACAGAAAAACAGATGGATAAGAGAATTTTCTTTTAATTATAATTTTAGTGTCTAAAACTGTCAATTAAAGTTGCAGCACATAAGATGAATAGAATAAATCTCAGTTTACCAGGGAAACAAGTTCCACAATTAAACTTTGCTAGTAACAAGGGAGTTATCAAGGATAAGAGAGTGGGAAAGGAATTGTGAAATCTAATTCTATCCCAGAAGGTTTACACCAGGTCTTGTGAAAAATCAGTGGGCTAGTGGCTAAAAATACGAGTATTTATGTTCCATCTAATGAGATGTGGGCTGAAGCCATCCAGCTCTTGGGATCAGCAGAAAGCTGTCAAAACAAAAGAGACCAATGCCGAAATCGGACACCTTGTTGATGTCCAGGATCCTTAACAGAGGCAATCGGATTTTCCAACTAAAGCCTCGATTATATATTTTTGGATACGCTTTTCAAATGATCACAATCTGTTAGAAAAACTGTTCAAAGGATTTATCTACAGAAGTTACCATTAAAGTCTATGGGGATTTTTGTAGATACTTTTGAAAAGTTTTTACAACAGATTGTGTTTATTTGAAAAGCGTATCCAAAAATATTGCATTGAGGGCTAAATCTTCCATCACATATGACATCAAATCTGTGTTTCTACCCTAAAAAGGGGTGATAATGGATCGTAAGCGTCATAAATACTCAGACAACACTTATAAAATGGGTAGATCTGAATTATTTCATTCAGAAATGGAAGTGTGAGAATGAAAAACACAAAAGGCAACTGGCAGACGTTTTCTTCTGAATTCTGAACAGCTTTAAAGAAATCAGTTTGTACCATGCCTTCCATCATTTGCACCTTATTAGGACACTATAGTCACCAGAACAACTACAGCTGATTGTATTTATTCTTGTGAGTAGAATCATTCCCATTTGGGCTTTTTTGCAGTAAACACAGTTTTTTTTCAGGGAAAATGCAGTGTTTATATTACAGCCTATGGATATCTCCACTGGCCACTCCTCAGATGGCTACTAGATCTGCTTACTGGGGCAGTGCTGCACACTGTGACTGATATTCAGTGTCTCCACCCTCTGCATGGAGACACTGAACTTTCCTCATAGAGATGCATTGATTCAGTTGTATCTCTATGAAGAGATGCTGATTGGCCAGGGCTGTGTTTGGCTTCTGCTGGCTCTGCCCTGATCTGCCTCCTCTTCAAGCTCAGCCAATACAATGGGAAAGCATTGTAATTGGTTCAGATCACTACATAAGCAAACAGATCAGGGGCAGAGTCAGCAGCAGACTAAATTCAAGTACAATGTTACTATATTTAGGAGGGAAAAGAAGGGGGTAGGGGCTACATTTTGTTTTAACACTATAGGGTAAGGAAAACATGTTTGTGTTCCTGACCCAATAGTGTTCTGTTAACATTTTTAGTTCCCTGCTTTCTTTTGTGCTGTGAAAACGTTAACGTTAAGAATTAAGGAAACTCAGAACTTTGTTACAATCTCTCTTTATTTTAGATTTCAATATATTTGGACATGCAGACAGGATAAAGTGTTACTCTGTTCTGCAGTGATACACATTTGGTGGAATGTCCTTCAGTGTGATGTTGGAAAACAGACATTTAACAGGTTCAATAGAATGTAGAATGTTCTGATACATTTCTAGATCATTCAAAATGTCTGAAGGTAGTTTAATGTGATTAGTGTAAGGAATAGGAAGAGAGTCTGATAATCAGCTGACAATTCCCAAAAAGGGATACTTTTAATGATAAAATAGCCATATATTCACAGAACGAAAGTACATTTTCTGTACCCACCAAGAATAGGGCAAGTAACACTTACCAAGGACATCTAGTTTTGACATGACACAAACACCGTCTAAAAGAATAATCTGACCAACTTGACAAGTCATAAATTGTGCAAGTGATGGAGACATTTCTGCAAATACTTCTGGACACAAACTATTTAGAATATGACATTTATTTATTTATTTATAAAATAATTCATTCATAATAACTGTGCAATCAGGTGGTTCTTCATGAATGTGACACTAAAATAACGTGTACTAATACGAGCATTCCGCAGAGTCATTGCCAGTTTGTAGAAATGATATATTTGATGTCTGCCTGTTTGACAGGCTGTGCTAAAACACGTTCTCTATTTACACATATAAACGAACAGATTATAGCAGATATTATTCCATAATTTTCAGAATGACATGATCAATAAATGCATTTTAAATCATGGTCTAATTATTTTGTATAGAACCCCTTCTCTATAAATATCCAACAAAGGGTTCCATTTTATCGGCTTCTAAAATTCCTGAACCTCAGTTCTAAGTTATTTTATCTTCGTTCTGCTATTACTAAAAGAATATATACAAGTTGAAAGCTTCAATCAAGCACCATTAATACAGAATTTCAGATCACAACACTGATAAATCTAATTTATCAGTGTTGTGATCTGAAATGCTGTATTAGTGGAGCAATCACAGTGGAAACCAGTAGACCCATCAGGCACATTCCATTGGCAATTACTTTACTATTATAACTTTGTATCAGTGAAGGTATTCATCAGCAAAGAGGCTTCAAAAGGAGCTGGAGAGAGAAATGTAAAGCTGTGATTGGAGAAACCGTTTTCTGTATATCTGTAACCAGATGCTCTTTAAAGCTGGACTTTATTGATTTGTTGTGAGAAGTAAGTTATTCCTGAAAATAACACATATGAAGTCCCCTTTTTTAATTATTTTTTGTGTGTGCAATTTCAGATATAAAGAACAGCATTGGAACACTCATATATATATATATATATATATATATATATATCCATCGAATAAGACAAAACATCACGTTTGATACATGCTGAGATGATAATATATAAAAACAAATAAGCAAGTGTCAGACTTGTATATGACAAAGTGATATGTACTAAACATTGGTTTGCTTGCACATTGCTGAATGGCAAGTATAGCATAACTTCATATTTTAAATTAAGAAATTATAAGGATTACAATGCAGTATGTTTAAAACAAACATTTAAGTAATGATATATGGGAGTATAACATGCATCTGCGATTAATACTACTGGATCTTGTAGGAATACTAGCAGAGGTGGTGGTGTCGGCACTTAAGCATGTAGTATACCAAAGAGGCTCTCCCAGACCCCAGGTAGAGATCAGCTAATCCAGGTTAAAAATGATAAACCCACTGAGGAGATAGGATGGTGGGCTGTAGAGATATACTTTGGTTGGCCCATATGCAAGACAACAAAAGAAACATAAAAAAGAAACTGTAAAAAATATTACTAACCAACCATTGTGTAGAATATACAGTGCCCTTTCGTATAGAGCCACATCCAGATAGCCCAGCTTTAGTAGAAGATCATGCATAGTAAGCCTGTTTAACCTATGTCCGTGTTCGGATGAAGTGTCAGACAGATCACAGAGAGGTGTGGGGTACAGTTGTTGCCATCCAAACATCCACCATCATAGGCGTGCGCAGCCTATTATATAAGGGTGTGCACCCTAAAGCACAAACACACACGCTGCATGTATATATATATATATATATATATATACACATACATACACACACACACACACACATATACTGCTGTGTGTGTGTGTGTTTTTTTTTTTGTAAATATATTTTTATTTGATAGGAAGGTTGCCTCGTTCAAATATGCGAGGAGGAGAAGATGATGAACATGCAAACAAAAATTGGTGACGCGCAGGTCACATTGTAACGTTGGAAACAGTGGTTTGTTGGACTCGCAGGTCCCATGAAACATATTCATTAGGTAGTATTTACACTTGGTGCGATATATGATGGTGTGGACCTACAGGTCCCCATGTACCTAGAGTTAGTGCCCGTAGCAAGAGGTTTCGGGTCGCGTCGTGTATCAATGCGTGTTTGTGTGCTCGTGCCAGCGGCACGCCTGTCCTTAGGTGGTGGGTAGAGTAACGGTATAGTCGCCTTTGTGGCAAGTGCAGAGGCGATTGTATCTCGCAGGCTTCTGCGTGATGCCGCCGTCTAAGAGGTCGGGGGAAACGTTGTCCAACTTGTGGTGTAGGAGTCGAAGTTGTAGTGAGTTTTCGTCGCAGTTCGTGCGATCTGTAGGGGCGTGTGTGTATTGTGAGGGTTCTGTCTGTCGGGGGGTCGGGTTACTGTCGGGGTATGTCTTCGTCTGCGGTCGCTTGGTCCACGTATCTGAGTCTGTGTGCGAAGTCTTCTTTGGAGGTCGTCAGGAGCCAGTGTGACCAGATTTCTAGATATTTGTCAGAGGCGTTAGTGGCGCACATGTTAAGTTCTTCCACTGCCCTAAGCTCTTCCATTTGGGCAAACCATGTAGTCAGTGGGGGTGTGACTGTCTGCTTCCAGAATTGTGGGAACACCTGTTTGGCTACATTTAACATTCGTATGGTTAGTGATTTCTTGTATCGTGATCTGGGGGTCTTCGTGTGGTGTAGGAGCATGGCCTCGGGTAGGAAGGGTGGTGGTGCATCAGAAAATGTTTGGAGGAAACCGTGTATGCCTTTCCAGAAGGGTCGGATGGCCTCACAGTCCCACCATAAGTGGAGAGTGGTGCCTATGCCAGTATTGCATCTCCAGCAAAGGTCTGAGTTGTCTGGGTTGATAGCGTGGAGTGTGGTCGGGGTACAGTACCAATTTGTAAGGAGCTTAAATGCCGTTTCCTGTGTCTTGCTGAAGACTGAGCAGTGATGCGTTAAGTAGCACATCTTCTCCCAGTCTCCAGCAGTAAATGTTTTACCTAGTGTCTGTTCCCATTTCCCCATGAACTTCGGTAGCTCTGTTAGGGTTTCCCTCTGGAGTGTAGAGTATATGAGTGAGATCCCGTGTGGTTGGGGGTCTGGGTCCATGCATAGTCGTTCGAACGTGGTGGGATCTCTCGTCAGGGCTGTGCCACCTGGGAGTGTGCGTACATAACTTCTTAGTTGTCTATATTTGAGGTGATGTAGTAGGGTGGGAGTGGTTCCTTCTAGAAGGTTAGGGAGTGTTTTGCAGTCAGTCCTGTCGAGTAGATGGTATAGTTTGGGGTCGTCATGGTGTAGTAGATCTCTGAATGCGTTGGGGTCGGAGCCAGGGGGGAAGTCATCGTTGTGGGTCAAAGGGAGGAGGGGGGACGGGTACGGCGCCAATCTGTATCTTTTTGCCGCCCCTCTCCACACTTGCAGTGTCGCTGCTGTGTAGGGCGAGCAATGTCCTCCCCTTCCCCCCCCCGCTTGCCATGGCAGGGTGGACAGTGGCCTCCCAGCCTCCGCTTCCTCCACGTCCTTCCACATTTTGGGCACCTTCCCTTTTGACCACTCCATGACTCTTTGGAGGTGGCAGGATTCATAGTACAGGGTAAGGTCTGGCATAGCCAGGCCTCCCCTGTCCTTAGGTAATGTCAGCGTGGACATCTTAACCCTCGGTCTGCGATGGTTCCAGACATACTTTCCCATTGCTTGTCTCAGGGTGGCAAAGAAGTGCCTGGGAATAGTGGTGGGGAGGGCCTGCATAAGGTAAAGTAGGCGCGGGAGGAAATTCATTTTTATCACTTGGATCCTGCCTAACCAGGAGATATGTGGGAATGCCCAGTCTGATAGGTCT